ATTGAGAGGAGGTGGTCATCCAGGAGACAGGGCCAGCGTCCCTGGGGCTGGACAGTCCCGCTTCCTCAGGGGCTGGCTCCACAGCAGCCCATGCCAGAGAATATGAGAGAGGGACCCTGTCTGTAGGAAGGAGCGGAGATATCCTGGATCCCATAGGAAGGGCTGGTGGGGCTCTCTGCTGTCCTGGCTGTGCCTGAGGACTTGACCCCGGCCCGGCCCGCCTTGCTCCCTCAGAGCTGCTCACGCAGGGCTCACCCCTCAGGCCCAGCGAACCGCCTCCCTTTACCCCTCCAGGCACAGCCACAGCCCCAGCCCCAGCCGTTCGAATTGTGTCTGTGGGTGGACTCGGTGTCCATCCTGGGAAGTCCATTCAGCAGCAAAGGAGGCCAGGAAGTGTGAGAGGTCAGGGACAGCCCATCTCCCGCGTCCTCTCAGGGCCAGCTGGCCCCTGTTCCCCACGCCCCTCGGGACACTAGGCTCACTCCAGTCCGTCCTGCAGCACGGATGGCTGTCCCCTTTGTGCCCACACTTTCTCCTTCTCCCCTTCCTTCTGGCCCTCTTTCCTGGTGGCACGCAGCGTCCTCCCCACCACAGGGAGACAGCCCTGGCTGACAGCCAGCCCTGTCCTCCGGCTGGACGTCACCTTGGCCTGGGCTCCAGGGCCCAGTCCCCAGGGCGGGGAGGCAGGGCGGGGACTGGCCAGGTGCCACGTGGTCAGCCCACCTCTCAGGTGTCCACCTCCCAGGAAGGGAGGGCACCCTCTCATCCCTCCTAGTCCCCGGGCCCAGCGAAGGCTTTCTGGGTGTCTCTGCAGGGCGAGGCCATGATGGTTCCCTGGCGGAGAGTCCGGATTTGTGTCGCCCCAGCCCACTCCCCTGGACGTCACTGCTTCCCGATGACCATGCAGGGGTCCGCTCCTTGCAAGGCTGTGTCCTTGGCCACGTCCGTCAGAACTCACTGGCGGTTTCGCAAGTGGTATGCAGCACTGCTACTCTGAGTGCAGCTTGGACGCTGCCAGTCCCACAGAAGTCAGGAGCCGCGCTCAGAGACCAAGTCCGGGCAAGGGCTGCTGAGTAGCCCAGGTGAGGCAGGTGAGGGCCCGGCGATGCCCAAAGACCGTGTCGTGTGTCCACAGCCACATGCCCTCCAGCCCCATCAGGAAGTGTCTGCACACGCGTGGGTCCCTGCTGCTCCCTCAGGGGGTGCTGTGGCCCTGGCACCGTCCGGAAGAGGGGCTGCCCTGGAAGGGGCTGGGAGGGCATTGGTCAGACCCTTCATTTTACCAGAAGGAACCGGAGCCAGCTTGGGCGACAGAGTTAATCCAGACGCTTGACTCACAAATGACAGGACCAGAAGCACAGCCCCATCCGTCCCTGAGCTGCCGGGCAGGGCACAGCTGATCACGCCCAGCCCAGGGTGCACTCCCCCTCTGCAGATCCCAGGACAGGACGCCCAGAGCGTCAGGACGCGGTTAACAGTGTCCTCAACACGACCTGTGCCTGCCTCACCTGGCCTGGGCCACACGGAGTGAAGGGGAAGACGTGTAGAATGCCACTGGGGAAACGGCCCTTACTTCTTACTGTATTTTCATTATAACGGTAAAAAAGGAGGGCAACTTGAGCATAAAGTAGTGAGGTGTCTGACCTTGCCTGGTTCGGTGGGAGGGGCTGCCAGCTGAAAGCTTCCGTTCTGCTTAATGGCAGCAGTGGCTGTCTTCACAGTGCACGCGAGAGAGTCTGAGGCGCTGTGCTGGTAAGCGCTGCATTTTACTCACCCAGTCGCACAAACGTGGGTGACACTGACCCCCGAGGCTTGGGTGTGAGTGTGAGGTGGGAGCAGGCAGAGTCAGCACCGCCCTGCCCCTCCCTACACATTCAACAGCCACACAAACCGTCACCGAGGCTCCCCCAGTGTCTACCCGGACAATCTATGGTGGAGGCCGCTTTATGGGCCCCGCGTGGGAGCTGGACACACCTGTAGGCCACCGATTTAATGCAAACGTAGACTCAGTTTAAACAGTGTGAGGATCTGTTGCTTAGTGGCGGTGAGTCCCGGGAGGACAGATGCTCGTGTGCTGGTGAGCTGATAGGGTTGTCACTGCTTCATCTGATGCTCCTCTCGTAAGATGGCAAGGGCCCGCATGCTTCGGCTGCTCCGTTCTGGCGAGCGAGCATGGGCCTGGGCTGTGTGCAGGACTGGCTGGTTGTGCAACCTTTACCTGCTCTTTTGGAAAATCTGGAGAGGACGCAGCTCATGGCAACGGGAAGTCAGCAGTAGCTGTGGACTCCGAGAGACAAGAGAGACCTTGGGCCTTGTGTAGCAGACCGGAATCCTCAGGAGGGGCCGCTGAGTGTGAGAACTTGGTATACGGTCTGCTCACACTTGCCTGCGTGGTTGGTGTCTCCTTACTCCCTCTTTGCTGCGACAGAATGCCCGACACCCACAACTGGAATGCTGGGCTGCCTTGAAATCCCCCTTCCAGAGTGGGCCCTGGCAGCAGCGAGCCTGTGGGGAGAGCAACAGCACCTGGCCCCGACCCTGCCACCACCAGCAGGGTTTTTGGGGGGCCCCCCCCGCAGCCCCGCCCCAAACCTGCCAGTCGCCCGCTCACCTCTGACTCTACACACACAGCATCCTCCCTGCCGGAGTCCAGGCCACCAACCACAGCCGCTGGACGTTCCCTGCCTGCACACAGCTGCCCTTTTGCTGGCTCCACAAACCTCCATTACCCTTGGGCTGGCCTTGAGGTCCCCTCTGAGGTGCCCCCTCCTGCCCCTCGGAGGTGAACCCTGCTGCCACACCTGGCCTGTCAGTGGGTGTGAGCGAGTGACCGGGCAGCAGGGCACCAGCATTGTGCACCGTGTCCTGTGTGACAGGATTTGGGGACTCGACTGTCCCCAGGCAGGCACCACGCGGGAATCTCTTGTGGGTCAGGACACAGCTGGTGCCCAGGGACGCTGTCCCACACGCACCTTCTGGACGAATGCTACCGCTCCACCGGGCAGGGCCTCCCACCATCACCCTTGGAGTGCTCCCTGCTCATGCTCTTGTTAATAATGCCTTGGAAGTAGGGTGAAGACCCCCCAGGGCCTGCGTGAGCTGGTGCAGAAGGGAATCCCCAGGTCTGTTCACTGTTCCGCTGGCCCTTCCTCATTCTACATTTCCTGTGTGCTTTATAATGTGTATGTAAGGTCACATGGTGACTCCTGCACAACCTGTAATGCATAACAGGAGGGCCTGCCCACTCAGCACTGTTTTAGGGGCTGGGGACAGAACCCCAGCCTCACACATGCTGGGCCGCTGCTGTCACGGAGCTGTGCCACCAGCCTCAAGCAGGTCTGCTAAGGAGCCTGCATTGAGGAGATATCCTGGAGACCTTGGCCTGGAGGCGTCTTCGGCTTCCACTACCCCTGGAGCTGGTCCAGGACTGAGCCCCGTAGCTGGAGTGGAGCCCAAGGTCGGAGGGGACCCCAGGGCAGAATCCAGGCAGCAGGCACGAAGCAGAGACAGAGAATGTTCTAGCAGGTGGCACTGCTCACCGGGTCGGAGAAGGTGGCGCTGCCTCCGTGCCTGTGTCGGCCGAGAGCTCCACTCCATGGGAGCCAGGACACGAGCTGTGACTGACACCAGGCCTGCACCTGGGTCCTATGCCCCTGGGGTGGGGGTGGGGTGAGGGAGGAGGCAGTTGGCAATGCCACAGCAGTGGGCAGGGAAGAACAGTGCAGCAGTGAGATGAGCAGAGAGCATGGGGAGGGAGTGGGGCTTCAGGAGCCAGAGGAGGACGCGGTCCCCAGGTGACCGTGACCGTGGGCATGTCCGGCCCAGCCTGGATGCAGGGAAGAGGGGTTCCTACCCACGAAGAAGCAGGGAGGGCTGTGGGACGCTGGGGAGGCCACAGACAGAGGCCTTGGGTGCAGGCTTTCCCGGAACAAGCCCAGAGTCTGGAAACAAGTGCAATTTTTGCTAGGCTTTTAAACTTTCATTTGGGCTCTCCGTGTTCCAGCAGCCGCCACCCCCTGCTGATAATGCTTACATTTAAAACACTTAGGACAGTGAAAGACAGGCACCATTCACCCCCTACACAGCGCTCCCTGCCTCAAACACAGCCCATCCTTCTGGCACCTTCTGAAGCAGCTCTGGGGGCCTCTTTCCTGAGGGTCTTTACAAAGTGAGACTGGAAATAAGGTGACTGCTGCTGCCGAGCACCATCCAAAGGAGGCAGCTCGTAAAAACATGACGCTGCGTCCTCTTCCACCTTAGTCACCGCATCCGGCAGCATACGACTCCTGGCCCTTCCCAAAGTCCAAATGACAAGAAAGGGAAACATCTCAATCCACCCAGGACATCGAGGCAGCTGTAACAGCACAGCTAAAAGACGCAAGAAGACTTCAGAAAGAGGCAAGAACAATGGGATGAGTGTGTTCCAAGCTAGGGGGGATTTTGAGGGGGATTCTGTGTAATATGTCTGTCCTTTACTGTAATTAAAATATTTAAATAGTCGCCATATTTTGCAATCATACCTCATACCTGGCGTTTGTAAAGTGCCTCCTTTAGCATGAACTTTTACACATGCTACTTCTACTGCAATCCAGCAAGGTAAGCATTCTCATTTTGTTCGGTTTCCGGTTTTGTTTAAATTGCCCAGGCTGTCCGGGAACTCACAGTGCTGTCACCTCAGCTCCCACATCCGTTCTGCAGGTGGAGCAGTAAAAGGTCCCGGTGATCAGCGCGGTTGTCTGAGGCCTCGGCTGAGGACCCAGGCGGGGCACTGACCCTTCCGCACCCCCAGAGGAAGCCGCCCGTGTCGCGTGTCGAGCGGTCCCCTTGCTGCTCAGGCCTCGCCCAGCCCCCTCCCAGGCCAGCGGACCAGGGGAAGCCTGGAAAGGCTAGGCCTGGGGGGCGTGGCTGGCCCTGCCCACGCTCCCGCCCACCCTCGTGCGCTCCCGACCGACCGCAGACCGCGGGGACCTTGTCCTAACACTGTCCCTGTTCCTTTGCAGCCTGCAAGAGGAAAGAGCAGGAGCACGGGAAGGACCGGGGCAACGCCCCGAAGAAGCCCAGGCTGGTCTTCACCGACGTTCAGCGCCGAACTCTCCACGCCATCTTCAAGGAAAACAAGCGTCCGTCCAAAGAGCTGCAGATCACCATCTCGCAGCAGCTGGGGCTGGAGCTCAGCACCGTGAGCAACTTCTTCATGAACGCGCGGCGCAGGAGCCTGGACAAGTGGCAGGACGAGGCCAGCGCCACCTCCGGGAGCTCCTCCTCCTCCAGCACCTGCACCAAAGCATGAAGGGAACCAGACTCGAACCTCGGTGGAAAAGCTTTAAATCTACAAGAGAAGATTTTTAAAGACCAGGACCTCAAGAGAGCAGGTTTATACTCAGAAATATTTGAAGAAAGAAAGTGATATTTATAGTCCAAAGAAACCAAAGACGTAGCTCCCTGCACCCTGACTGTTCGGGGACGCGCACTTGGGAGGGCGACAGCGTGGCCAGAGAAAGGACGGGCGGGTGGCTTCACCGCCTCGAGCACCTGCAGCCTGCGGTTGCTGTCGCCGCACGCACACGGCCGGTGAGTGGCCTGGAGCCCGGGGTCCCGAGCCGCGGAGTGGACGTCCAGGTGTCTGGTGTCGCCGTGCTATGCGCCGGCGTGTACGCACGTCACACTAACAAGCACGCGTGCACGCCGCTGTGAGGGGACTCAGGCGGGGCCGGTGGTCAGGAAGGGTGGTGTGCAGAGCGGTGCCGGATCAGGAGTGCGATGTCGCCGCCGGGCCTCCAGGCGCAGGCCCGGACCCACCAGAGGAGATTTGAGTAGCACCCAAACAAGTGCATTCTCTTTGTTTGTTAAGGAGTGTTCAGATATTTTTTAAGAAATGAAACAAGAGCCCATCCATTAAAAAAAAATCACCTAGGTACCAAAGAACACACTTAATATTATAGTGCAGGTATTTTATTGCAACGATTTTAATAAGCAAAGCTATTTTTACACAAGATACTATGTAAAGTTATACATATGGACTGATCTAGCTTAACACACATGCCACACAGACTCACAACTATAATTTATGACTCTTGAAGCTTTGAAATAGGCATTTTCAGAACTGGCAAGAAAGAACGTAGCTTCAGGGAGCCAGAGACTACCGTGGTGGAGAGGCCCGTGCTCCAAACACACCCAGTGGCCCACATGTGTCACCTATGTAGAGAAATGCGCAGGACTCCATCCTCTCCTGTCGGCTGAGAAGCCCAGGGTGTTTCCAAAGTAGGGCCCCACTTGTACACAAGAAATCTGTTTAACAAGGCCAAGTAACTGAATTAGAAAATGGGTTCAAAATGATGCTTTTTTTTTTTTTGGTTTTTTGAGACAGGGTCTCACTATGTAGCCCAGGCTGGCCTTGAACTCATAGCAAGATCCTCCTGCCTCAGCCTCCCAAGTGCTGGGATTACAGGCGTGCACCACCATGCCCAGCTAAAATAATGCTTTTTAGCAAAAGACCAACCAATAAGAATTTAGGTTAATTTGACTTAAATTTGCTTTATGTATTTGGCACCAAATGCCTTTAAAGAACACTTCACAGGGCCGGGGATTTAGCTCAGTGGTTCCACCTCCTGCCTCGCAAGTGCAAGGATCCAAGTTCGATCACCAGTACCAAACAAAAAAAATAAATACTTTACAAACACAGAGTGAGCAGACCAGTGCATTATTAAAATTAATTGTCTAAAATAGGTATGGAAGCATGCACCTGTAGTCCCAGCTGTTCAGGAGGCTGAGGCAGGAGGACCACTTGGGCCTAGGAGTTCAAGACCTCCCTCGAAACAGAGAAGAGATCCTATCCCAAATCAAATTAAATTAAATTTAAATTAGTTGTCAGGTGTTTTGTAACCATCCTGAAAAAGTAGTCAAACTGATTTATTGATAACCCCAGGCACTATGACTAGAGCAGCCACAAAACAGCAGGTGCTGCTGAGAACTGGCGGGCGGATGGAACTGCACAGGGGAGGCACGTTCTGGTGGGACACAGCCCGAGCTTCCGTCAGGATGAAGCAGTGTGTTTCATTCCGCAGTCTCCAAGCCCACGACATTCTCTCTCGCTACTGCACTAAGCTGGAAATCTTATAACATGGATTCCACTCTAACAGAGACAGATAAAAAGCTAGACCTGAGCTTCCAAATATGATGTTTTAAATTTCTATTTCTTCAAATCACTCAACTGAGGGTCTATAAATCAAGGCCAAAATAAAAAGCCCCACTGGTACCCTGGGAGTCTCCTGATTCCCACACCTCTCTGAACTCAATTGAATTGCACATGTACGGTGCTCTTGGTCAATTTCCACACCTAACTAGAGCTAGAAAACTAAAAGTTCTAATAACTCAGTGAGGTGTTTACTGAGATTCAGTAAAATGCCAAAGCAAAACATTAAATCACCGTGACACAAAACCTAACTCCTGAAGGTCAGATCTCCACGTCTGTCCAGGTCTAAACAGGCAGCACCTGAGAGGTGATGCTCAGCCAGCAGCCAGCTCTGTCCCTCCTCCAAGAGGACCCCACACGACCTGCTTCCCCTCCCTTGGAATACGGCATCTGCCTTGCCACGCTGTAGTTGGCTTTCATACTTTTTTATTTCATCCAAAATTCCAGCTAAAATTTTTCCCTTCTAAATATGGCACAATTATAGTTCAGCTATTAAGAGACTGTTTCAAAGGCCACCTTCAAGATTTCCTAAAAATATAATCTTATCAACAATGTAACAGAAAAACATGGAGGGAGCCGCGGGTGCAGCAACATAATGTAGTTATAATTTAGGAGGGAGGAAAGCCTTATTTATTTAAAATATGAGGCATTCAAAAGCAGGGAAATCCAAGCTGTGTCTACACACGTTTTTACCCAATTCTACCTCCCCAGGAAAAACAAAAACTGATTTCAAACAACCTCCATTTGTTTTTATTGGATTTACCCCAAATTAATCCAACCGTATTTTGCATTTTCAACCAATTATTTTGGTCCCATGTAGGCACAGTCTAAAAGAATGTTACTACATTTTAAATATCCTACCACCGTGGTTTTTTAAATAACCAGTTCCCCTACTTGCTAACACCAAAGATGATTTTCATACCGGCGTTGAATTTGCACCCTTTACGGTTTCAGGGCCAGATATGTATTCTCTCATAAGCAGAGGCACAACTCAGAGGCTGGAACGCATCTTTTTACTTGACTACGCAGACTCACAAGCTTTGCTTTTTAGAAATCGTAAGGGACAGACTCTGCTTCCCACAATGCACGTCTCGCATCACATATGGCTGATTCTTCACTTGCTTCTGAACTGGCATGAGGAAAAAGATGCTTCCGGCCCCGCATGGTGGCTTAGTGCAGCCTTTATTTAAGCCCCTGTTCTTTAATCCACCACATGCAACAGGGCAGATCTCAGCTATCTATCTGCTCACTCATTGTTCTGCCCTGTAGCAAAATTCGCCTTAGAAAGGCACCACACTCACCCAGTTACACATCTGTTAATTACCAAACTGCACTTCAGATAACACCTTTTTATTTTTTGGGGTAGAATGGAAGTTAATCTGTTCTCACCATAAACCATTCAGGTCTTTTCCTAACAGGAAGCTTTTCTGAAAGAAGGCTGGAGGGGGTGATGTTGGACACCCCAGAAGCCCAGACTTCAGGAGAAGTTCAGGTAGAGAGAGATCCAAGTATCAGGAACTGGGTGTCCCAATCCCTGGAATAGACCCCAAAGACCAAAGAAAATGTGTGGGGAAGTACAGAAGTTCTGACAACATGTCACTCGTCACATCCCCAAGAAAGCATTTCTTTTCCAGGAACACAAAAGCACTATGCTCCGCTCGCTCGGACTCATTCCACCCCCATCGCCACCCCCATGAAGAACCCGTCTTTGCAGGTTAAATGCAAACTGCTATACCAAAGAGTCCTAGGACATTCTCCCACAAGCTCGAGGGTATTCTCCCTAGGAGCCATCCTCTCTTCCTTGTACATAAAGGATGAAATCTATGCATTCAGCAAACAAAGAGAAAGCACTTCTCCCTTTTCTATCCAGTTGTTTAGGGTGCATTCAAATGCCAGAGGCTGTTTTGAGACCCATTGGGCCTTCTGGATTATTACTGTGGTGTGGTTAGCTTTACAGTACATTTGGTAACTATTTCCTAAATGGTAAAAGGACAAAGAAGCAGAAAAGTAAGAAATAACTACTTCCACGTGTAAAAAAAAAAAAGTGTAAAGATCTACTATTTATAGTGTGAACCAAAGACGCTACCTCACTCGATTTCCATTGGTGATTTTAATCACATTGATGATACCAAAGAATACCAAAGATACTTTCGTGCACGGCCTGTCTGCAGAGGGAACCCCCCCCCGTCCCGTCCTGTCCCACCTGTCCCCACCTCCCTGTCCCCTCTTCACTCAGTGTACAAACTCGTCTTCATTCTTAATAATGATATGACAACGACGACAATGTTAGGAAACACTGCTCTTACTACTGCTAGTTCTTCTTGTAAATCTCTAGCAAATATTTCGCAAACTTTGTAACTCCTAGGATGAGTGCCTTGCTTGAACCAAAGTGTTAAACCGCTGTTAACCTCTCTCTCCTTATACTCTTTGAATACCTCAGCCTCTTAGAAAGGCCACTAATGAAAAAAAAAGGAATAATTATTCACCGTGGTGCTTTTTCCATGCAACCATGCAATGAAACTTTCTTTGATACCAAAGGATGACCTCCCCAACCCAATGTTTTGCTGATAAACCAAAGCTCCTCCTCCTCCTCCTCCTCCTCCTCCTCC